TATATTTCAAAGTGTGAATTTTTAAAAGTCCACAATATCCATTTACAATACCTTCCTCATAGTCCCTCCGCATTGAAATGTTCTCTATACTAGTTTTGGGCATAATATTTTTTCTTTTTTCTTTTGGAAAAATTCGGCTTAAATCCATAACAGATAATTCAGAGTATGGGTCAAATGACAAAAAAAAAAATCTGACAACCGTTTTGCCGCGAACCAGACTCGGAATTAATCACCGTAGCAATATAATTCGCTGATCCATAAATGGGAAACCAAAAGCCAAAAACGTTCACCATATTCCTCTCATCCCCCATATCCAAAATCAACGTCTTACAAACAGGAATAATAAAGAAAAATCAAATAACAAAACAGACATAAAAATTACTGGAAAAATAAACAAAACAGATAAGATAAGTCTTCTTCCAAACCCTAGATTTGCTTGCACTCCATGGCGGCGGCTCAGGATCAAGGGGGACGCACCAGCCGCTCATCCGCCACAACCTCAACATCAGCTTCATCTAGATCCAATTCTTCTTCCTCTGCCTCATTCGCCATCTTCTTGTATTTGTCCACGAAGCTATCCATGCAAAACTGTTGCTCTAACCCTCTGCCAAAAACTTCGAACCTGCTCATTGTCGAGACTGAACACCTCGGGCACAATTAAAGCAACCAATGAATGCCTTGCTCGAATCAACCAAGACATATCCCAAAACGATTAGGTCGATGACCCCAATCCCGAAAAAGAAACACAAAAACGATCTGCTGTGCCTAGATCAGCAACTAACAGACGCAAAATCCAAACTCGCACCACGGCCGAACAATCGTATCCGGACAAATAGGGTTGTGCACGGGTCGGGTTTTCGAACCCTAAACCCGTTCGTTTTTTTTTTTTTTAATTTAAATACTAGGCCCGACCCTTTGATATTTCAAATCGGGGATTTCAGATATTTTTAAGTCGGATATTATCGGATATCGGGTCGGGTTTCGGATATTTTGGTTATATTAAAAAAATTATAATTGGATAATTAAAGTGTTTAAATGCCACTTTGACAAAAATTGTACACACTAGTGCACTAAACTTCCAAATTACACAAATAATTTAACAAAAATTGCACAAATAATTACACAAATAATTGAACACAAGTATTAATTTAACATATTCAAAGTACACACTACATAATTTAATATATTTCGGATATTTCGGTTATATTAAAACACATTATAATTGGATAATTAAAGTGTTGGAATGCCACTTTGACAAAAATTGTACACATTAGTGCACTACACATTCAATTTACATAAACAATTTAATACAAATTGCACAAATAATTACACAACTAATTGAACACAAGTATTAATTTAAATATTCAAAGTACACACTAACCTATATTTTGGATATTCGGGCGGGTCGGGTTGGGATTTCACAAACCCTACTCACCACCCGGTCTAGGCCCAATACTAATCGGATTTTCGGTTTTGGATTTTTCGGGTCGGATATCCACTTCGATTCGGATAATATCCGGAAAAAATATCGGGTTTTTCGGGTCGGATTGGGTTTTGCTCAGCCCTACGGACAAACGGCCCTAGGAAAACTCTAGGAGGCGGCGCTGCTCCAGAGCTGACAGCTCTACTTATTAAACTTCCAACATCGTTTGATATCCAACATATACCGCTTGATAAATAATTAATAATATTTGATCATGTTGGGCACAATATTTTAGGATTGAATAGTAGGGATAGTGAATAATGTAGAAAAACTATGAGAGATCGAATGTGCAAAATTATTAAAAAGAAGATAAAAAGTAAATAAAGTAAGAGTAGTTGAGTATTTCATAAAGAGTAAACTTACCAAAAATATAAGTATAGAGGACTTTTAAATACTCCCTCCGTATCACAATAAATGTTTCACTTTCATTTTTTGACCGTGTCAAAATAACTGTTTCACTCCCACTTTTAGCAAATAAATCCACTCCAAAAGCAGCAACAGTACCAAAAATCTCATACTTTTACAATATGATCATAAATATAATAATCACATCTATCAATTAAAATAGAGTTTGATATTTTAAAATTGATCATAGTTTTTATTGAAAAAAGTCATGGACAAAAATGTGACTTGGTAACTTTTAGTGACTATAATTGTGTTCAATGTTTCTCACTAGTAATTTTGAACACAATTATAGTCACTAAAAGTGACTAAGTCACATTTTTGTCCACTACTTTTCAAAGGGTAATATTAGTAGAATTTTTTCTTAAATTTATTCAAGTATTAACAAATTGATACAAAAAATAATACTCCGTATAAATAAATCCACGGTTACGGATCCCAAGAATCGCATTTTTAATGTTTTAAATTACAAGAAACTATCGTTCCTAAAAAAATTACAAGAAACTAATACACTTCAAATTCATATTTTAAGAGGGGTTTGGTGGGATTAACTCGCCCATTAGCCGCCTAATGGGCTACGTGTTCACCCCTAAACCAAATTTCTTGGTCCCATCATAATAATTAGTTAATTACCAAATGCGTTGCATAAATCGAGGGCCGTCTTCAACATTGCTCGTCTTCACTCCGAGGTGTGCCCGCTCACTGCCTCTGGCTAGCCCTAATCTGCAATCTGAAGCACGTCTACTGCAATATAAGGCTGTATGTTTATCACCTTGCATTTCATGTTTTTTAATACTCGTATTATATATCGTCAATTCAATCGCTGCACACTCCCAATCGCTGCCATCAGTTTTGTTTCCAGAGGAATCACACCTCTGAAACCAGCATTGGATTACTGGTTTCGTATATCTTGTTGTGGTTGATATTTGTAGTTACCTTCTTTCTGCTCACGACTGACGTTTGCAATACGTTAGATTTATGTTTTTTGATTTTAAAGTAATTGGTTCCTTGTGTTTGGCTTGTTTACTTTAAGGTTTAAGCTATGGAGGAGCGAGACCGAATCAGTGAACTTCCTGCAGATTTAATTGACAAGATTATGGGAAAATTGTGGATTGGTGAAGCTGCTAGAAATGCTGTCTTATCCTCTGTTTGGAGAGATGCTTGGTATAATCTTACTGAGGTTGTTTTTGATGATTCCTTCTATCATAACATTTACTCAGATTTTGATGATAACCCAGCCACATGGCATGATACAATCAATGATTACCTCAAGAAGCATAAGGGAAATATTAAAAAATTTGTCGTTTTTTTCCGCCTGAAAGTATATATATGTGAATTCGACAAGTTATTCCTATCTGTCATGAAGAAAGGAGTTCAACAACTCGTCATTCAGATATACAGTGATGATGGTAGGAAATACCAGCTGCCGACCTGCATCCTTAAATGCCCTACACTGAAGACTTTTCGTGCTTGTGGTGTTAAAATAGACCCGACAAGACCCCGTTGCATGTTTCGTAATGCCACTGCTCTTAGTTTTGATGGTGTTCATTTTGATCCAAGTAGTCAACTTGATGCTGTTGATCTTCGAAAGCTCCGAAGACTAACATTTATAGGATGTAAAAACATCTCTAATTTCAACATTACTGCTCCGAGACTTGGTAGTTTATCAATCGTAGAATGTTACATTGGCAGTGATCGTGACACTGACAATGACCGCCGTAGTGATAGTGATGACGATGATTACTATTCTGACGATGATGATGAAGATTACAACTCTGACGACGATGACTACCGCTATGCAGCCAATAATGACGATGAACGCCGCTATAACCTTGACAAGGGAAAAGACAAATCAAGTGGTGGTTTTCTCCCTGCGAACTTGGATTTGAGATCTGTTCATACACTTCATTTGTGTTGTGATGCTATTGGGGTATGTGTTCTTAGCCTATTCAATTATTAAATGATTTATAGCCAAGGTTCTAACTTTTTTTCGTATTACTTTTGCAAGGGTGTTGTTGATGATTTTGGTAGAATGGGACCTCAAATGCCAACGTTAGATGTGAAATACCTAAACCTTTCAGGTGTCTACAATCCAGATTCTGACATAAACTCTAAGTTTATTAATCTGCTGAGAAGTTGCCCAAAATTATGCAAACTTGAAATAAGTTTTCAGGTAAATCTTGTTTTCACATATGAATTGCCTAGTGACAGTTATACCCATGAACCGATCACAGACTCAATTTTGGTACTCATTTTGTGTAAATGCTGAGTTGATCTAATTCATCGTTCTTTGTGTAGCCCCATGGATTAGGCTGGCCTAGTTGTAGTGGGAGTGTTTCTAATCTTTTCGAAGGACTTCACAAGCTACATCACATACACAACTCTCTCCAAACGTTGAAGCTTAGCTTATGCTCAGTGTCCAAATCCGAAGTGCAATTTATAACGGGACTAATAGGCTGCTTCCCAAAATGTAAGAAGGTGTTTATTTTTTGTTGGCTAAGGTTCACGTCCAAGGAGAAGGCAAAGATAAGAAAGGAGATTTTGAGTTCTAGTCGTGCCTTATCAACAGCAAAAATTTATTTGAAGTAAGAAGCCTTTTGGTTTTCATGCAACTCCTAAACCCTCCTGTTATGTAATGGAAGGGAAGCCGATTTCTTGTGGTCTTCAACAGCAATGGTTTCCATATATATTAGTGAAAATGATTATGTTATTAGCTGTTTTGTTAGAACGAAAGTAAGTTTAGTAATGTGGTAGGACCCAGGTGCATAGACGGCTAGGCTTTATCTTGCTGTTCGTAATGGGGGGAGAACAAATATGCTCCTAAGTATCCCCCACTTTATATTAGCTGCTCCAGATTCCATTTCAGCTGCTCCATATTACTTGTTTAACTTGCCTTTTGTAGTTCATATGAATATATGAACCACAGAGTAAAGTTCATATATTCATATGGTATTAGTATTGCAGGAAAAATAATTAAAATAGAAAAAATGGCACGGGTATCATTAAATGACTTTTGATTTCCACATTTATGACTCTTTTCAATTTTTCAAAAAAAATTGACTGATGCCCTACCTCTTTCATCATTCGTTCGATACTTCCTTCCCTCTTCATTTGCCAATTTTGCCCAGGTTTCCTTCTCGCTCCATTCGCACAAAGCACGGCCAGAGCTGCCATGGATGCAAGAGACGAAGCTCCAACGCCCTCCCCGCCACTGCTCCAGCCGACGCTAGCGCCCTCGTTCGTGTTCTCCGACACAGCTGTAGCCGCCAATCTTCTTCTTCCCCTTTCTCCTGTCTGTAAATCCACCGTCACCGCTTTGGAGCACCGTCGTAGTTGTCATCTTCGGTGGAGCTTGTCAATCTCTGCCGCTTCGGCGAAACTCTGTCGATGTCTTTTTTGGTGGAGTCTGACAGATCTTCTCAGATCTGCAGATGTATACATCCCGGTGGTTAGATTCCAGATCTTGGTGGCTAGGGTTGCTTGTTAGGGCCGTGTGGTGGCCTTGGACCTAGCTGCCGGTTGTTGGGAAACCAATGAGCAATAGTCATGGGGGTGGAGCGGGGTGTGATGGTGGTGACCGGAGTGGCAGAGGTGACTAGTGACCGGATGTTCTGGTTGTGACTGTCAGTGGTGGTGGTTACCGCGGTGGTGACTGTCAGTGTAAGGGATGGGTTGTGAAATCAGAAAAGGCGTGTCACTATGACCGGAAACGGACAGTCATTGTGACCGGCGAGCAGTCACTGTGGCTGGTGGGCAGTCAGTGTGGTCGGCGGAGCAGACTGAGCAGTCACTATGACCGGTGGGCAGTCACTGTGGCGACAGAGTCACTTTGACCGGAGTAACTTTGACCGGAGTCACTTGGCCGGAGTCACTGAGATAATGACTAGCGGCGGCGATACAGCCGGCGGCGGTGATACAGCCGGCGGCGGCGATACAGCCGGCGGCGGCGATACAGCCGGCGGCATGACAATTCCGACAACGATTGTTGTGGTGGCGGCTGGGTGGTTGACAATAATTTATTACTCTTAGTGGTAACTAAGTATATACAAATACAAAAATAATAATAAATTTAATAATCGGTATTTAATAAAGGATGTTTGGTCTGGGAGTCATAGTTTTGGACGTTTTAAAACCTACTCACTTTATAGGGAATCCATATTATAATAGTAATATTGATATAAAAAGGCCATTAAAATACCTTCAAAGTGGGATGTGAGTTAAGCGAGTTTTTTTCCGTATTAATGTTAATTAATTAATTATTTACGAAAATAATGCTGGAAAAAAAGTATTTACCAAAATACTGCTGGGCCTTAACCGTGGTCAGGGCAAAGTCGCCCAACCGTTGGGCGACTTATAAGTCGCCAAACCGTTTGGCGACTTATAAGTCGCCCAACGGTTGGCCGACTTTGCCCTGAAATATGGTTTCAAGCGAGCAGCTACTGCCAGCCACGCACGATCGTGCCTATTTCCTTAGGCACGATCGTGCCTATTACCTAAAACACCAAATCAGCTTGTTTTTCGCCCCGGTTCAATCCAGACCGATCTGTTTGCTACAAATAAGGTCTCCTTTCTCCTTTTGAAGTGTTACAAACTAGATACAACACATGATAATCACCTACTCTCAACAACATAAAAAACACCTTATAAACACCGCTAAAAAACTTTCAAATCATAATCGGTATAACACAGTTCAATCATCATATATGCCATAACAAATAATCATGTAATATTCATACTCGAACACATCAATACAACATAGAATACTTAACAAGAGAAAATACATCAAAACTTGTAAATTGTTCCTACAACATCTATTGCATAAGAAAAACTACAATACAAAAGACAAACTACAAGTTCCCATCATCAGCTTCGTCATGGAGATGTTGCTGCTCATGTCTACGCCTACGGCGTTGTCGTGGTTGAAGAACCACTCTCTCATGTTGCGTCTGGGATGATGAAGTCGCGGCTGCACTAGACGTGGATGCCATCTCCTGAGATGCGGGCATGTGTATAAGATGTCCATAGTCTACTCGACCCAACACATCTGAGCATAACGAGGCAATGCCTGTCAGAGTCTGTCCATACATGTCCACATCAGGAATATCAGTCACAGTGGCAGTAGCCCGCTGATGTATGCGCTGCAAAGCGCGGGTCTGCAATACGAAACACAATTACAATTACATTCAAATACATACAAGTATTACATAAATAAAATGACTTACTTTACTAATTAGTAATATACTCACCGTAAGATGCAATGCCAATGAGCTAGGCTGATAATGATGAGTAGGGAGTCTGAACGAAGGAGACACAAACAACCGAGTGTCTGTAGAGATAAGCTGGCACCCGCGACACAGCTCTGTGCTCCCTCTCTGGCACCCGCGACACAACTGCCTGTAGAGATAAGCCAGGGTGGCACTACCCCAGCTAAACTGTGCTGCTACATCAAACCTCTCCAGCAAAGGCAGGTGTAGCACCTGAACCTCATTTCCGCTCTTGTCAGCGAAAATGGAGGCTCCCATCATCATCAATATATACGCCCGAGCATGCTGCTGGATGATCATCTCATCAGCGTCGGGAGGAAGGGCCTGGAAGTGCTCCCTCAGCCATGGCATCCTAAGAGATGACCCCTGAAGGTCAGCCCTAAGAACGGGGCGGATGCCTAACAACCTCTCACACTCATCCACCCACTGTCGACAAGCAGTGCCTGTAACAGCTCTCCCATCAACCTCTAACCCAGTCAGTACAGCCACATCTCCCAATGTCACAGTGACCTCACCAACAGGGAGGTGAAATGAATGTGTCTCCTGCCTCCAACGCTCAAGTAGAGCAGTGAGGAGGGCTCTATCTAAAGGCACAGTAGCCACTAACCTGTGCAGTGTAAAAAAACCTGCTGCACGAACATATGCTAGGACTCTGGGGTCGACATGTAAATGGGACAAACCCCGCAGATGCTCGCGGCACCTATCAACCTGCACATCCATGCCAAGCCAAACATCCTCACTCCTGTGTGAGGCCTGCAGTGTCAGGACAGAAGGATCACTCGGCCCAGGATCCGCTATCACCTCCATGCCTACAAACAAAATTTGTATTAGTTCTAATTGTATTAGTTGTAATTGTATAATGTATTACATTTTTTTTAACTTCCTTTTTTGAATTTATTAATTTTCCTTGCAAGGAAATAATGAATTATGATTGACTCTAAATATACACATACCCGGCGGACCCCCCCTCTTGTCTAGATGATCTCTTTGCACATGTCGCTCTATTATGGCCGGTTTGGTGGCATCTTCCACATCTAACCGTTACTTCCAACCTCATTCATTGCCCTAACAATACCTCCATGTCTATCTGAAATGACACACAACTCCCTGGTAGTCACAAAATGCCTAATACATGCCATAAACCATGGCCAACTGTCTCCATTCTCGGATTCAACAACTGCAAAGGCGACTGGGAAAATTTGGTTGTTCGCATCACAACCCATGGCCACGAGCAATGTGCCCTTGTACTTTCCATACATGTGTGTGCCATCAATAGTAAGTACGGGTCGACAATGCTTAAAACCAGATATTGATGCCTTGAATGCCCAAAAAACTCTTTGAAACATCATATAACCTGTCGCACCATTGGGGGGTGGGTACCACTGAACAACAGTTCCTGGATTAGAATGTTGGAGCGCTGTCATGAAACGGGGCAATTCGAAATATGACTTTTCCCAACCGCCAAATATTTGTGTTATGGCCTTTTGCTTCCCCATCCATGTTCTCCGGTAAGATACCGTATACCCATATTTTTCCTTCAACATCTCGATGATAGTATGCACTTTAAGAGAAGGATCAGTGCGAATAATGTCAACCACATCTTTACAGATGAATTCTGATGTCAAGGCCACGTGATCTGTAGTGTCGATGTTGCCTACACAAGAAGCAGAATGAGGTCCAGAATAACGCACAATTGTGAAGGTGTCAAGGTTGCCTTTGTTCTTTGTGGCGCGTATTCTCCAGGGGCATTGACATTCTTTCTTCCTTTTGCATTGTGCCACCCATTTGTGTTTGTCGGACTCTATCACCCGATAGAATTGGTTCCGTTTGATAGAATACAAGCTCACCATATTGATGACTTGTTCTTTGTTGTCAAACTGTTGACCGACCTCAAACTCACCATCGGGGGTAAACCTTTTCTCACCTGATCCACTCATCCACGCATCAGTAAAACCTTCAGGGAGATCATACATTCTAGTGAAGTGGCTAGACGGGGCAGTTGATGTCACAGTATCACCATCATCTTCATCAGATTCTGTCATGTCGTCACCATTGATGTTCTCGTCTGCATCATCATCACTGCCCTGCCCATCCACAAATGATGCACCGTTGTGCAAATACCTGCCATCCTCCTGTATAACCATGTCTAGTACAGGAACCTTTGACGACTTCCCTGCATTCACCCCTGCAATGACATCATGCCTAGATACACCAGCATTTGATGTCGATTGAGTAGCATTAGCGTCAAAGCATTCCTCAATGTATACCTCCAGCGACGACATATCCTCCATCTGAATTATGCCCCACATATTTGTTATAGCTAGCTCATCAATGAGCGGCATAAGCATGTACTTTCCCCCGTTCATGGGAAATTTCATTTTCAACCGCAATGAACGGCCGGGATGAATCATTGTCGCTGCATGTATTTTTTGAAGGATCTCGACCATGCAAGCGCCACGAGAAACCATGACAAAGCTCGTTCTGCCACCTTCATGGCATATTTGCCCACCATTCTCATAATAGTTCCCTCCCCAATGACACACGAGTGGGAAGCTTGAGAAATCCATCTTCTAATAACAACTCATTGTCCAACATTCATGAGTAGGCATCAATATACACACTTTATACACATTCACATTTTAATAGAAATTGCTTCCAAAATTGTAATATATCATTAACTCCAAATTCACAAACAATTCACATTTCAATAACAAACTACCCAAATTTTGATATCTACATTCAATGTCTACCTTTGAATACCCAAATTTAGGTACATTCAACTATACCCAAATGCCCAAATGTCAAAATACACATTACAATTTACAAACAATTTAAAATCATATTTCAACATTTCATACATATTCACATTTCACAACAACTTCATTCACAATCAATTCATAAACCCAAAATTAAAAAAAAATTAACATTCTAAACCCTAAGTGCAAAATTATATGAAATGGATTTGGATTTACCTAGAATAAGGAGTAAAGAGTGTTGAAGATGAAGATGGAGGGTTGCCGGAGTGGAGTCGCCGGAGATGGAGGAGCTCCGGAGTTGGAGATGGCGGTTCGTCCGTCTTCTTCTTCGTCCGTCGCAGCAGCTACTTTCAGTTGGGGGAGGCTTCTGTGAAGTGTTCTGTTTGGGGCGAGACCCGATTTTTACTTAAGGAAAAGTCGCCCAACGGTTGGGCGACTTATAAGTCGCCAAACCGTTTGGCGACTTATAAGTCGCCCAACCGTTGGGCAACTTACCCCCGACCATGGTTAACCCAGCAGTATTTTGGTAAATACTTTTAACCCAACCCTATTTTCGTAATTAATTAATTAATTAACATTAATACGGAAAAAAACTCGAGTTAAGCACACAAAACTTGCATATGTAATTTAAATACCCCAAACTTTATATAAAAAGCTATATCGGCATCATGGTTTCGATTACTCCATGTTTATTTCAAAAATGTTAATTTTTTGTGTTAATTTCATTATTTAAAATATTTCAACTTTTTAATCTTCAACGTTCATGAAGATACAATTAAACTTTCTAAACTTCCATTGTAAAATAAATAGCAACATTTTCTATTTTAAATTACACAATCAACATCATAAGTTTACATTTTTGAAATAGATAATACATGATTATGGTGTTTATGTAACATTTTACATAAAGTTTGGGGTATTTAAATTACATATGAAAGTGAGAAGTAAGGATGGCAACGGGGCGGTTCGGGTCGGGTAATACCATTACCCGCCCCTATTACTTGTCGGGTATTTTTTACGCGAGAGTAATGGTTTTCCCCGCAGGTAATGGTTTCCCCACGGGTAATCAGTGGCGGATCCAGAAATTTAGCTTATTGGGGGCATGATAACATACACAGGATGAAGATAGCTACATCCTCAATTGATTCAATTTATGTCATATGACTCTCCTATTTATACTTTCACTGTCC